AGACAAGATGATGATTCATTTACATTTGTGCAATGATATACTCGATACCTATGATGTATTATATCAAGGTGTACTTATGATACCTAACTACATATATGTAAACAGATATGACATAACTATGATGTATCCGCTAACTGTTCAGTTTACGATGAGTACGGCATTATCTAAGGATCCAAAATGGATTCGGAACCCTTGTCTCTGGTCCATGACAATATTTTTGGATATTGATGGAATTGAAAGGCAGATTTTTCCACTACTTTTATCCTAGGACAGGATCCATTGAGGGTTCCTATCGACCTGCTCATTTCAGAATTTATACAAACTGCTTGGTTGTTTTTTTGACTTTACTCAATGGCCTATAAAGGCTAAAAATAGGCTCTGATGATGAAGATCTCCGTGAAACTCTAGAACGGGCATTCAATAAGCTGGCCGATAAGCTGGATCAATGGGGTAATTAGTCCGAAATCTTTTTCTTTCAAAGGAATGCAGTGTCATCTAGCGGATTGTACGCTATGTAATTGCAGGATAAATTTGTCTGTGTAGGTTGGTGCTAGAAAACGGGGTTTTTTGTAAATGCGGATGGGATGGGAATAGTCAATAGACATAGGCCACACACCGCTTAAGAGAGATCATTTTGGAGAAGAGTTTGAATCGGGAACGGGTGCCCTTTCAGCTTTGGCTTCCAGCTATTGAAAAAAATTACTCAATACGCTCTGTATCTGTTGAACACAAAGACTTTGGAAGTTTCTGGGATGGGGCGCTTCAACCAACTGCCTCTCCCATCACTGCGTTTATAGGTTGCTATTGCTCCTGCCAAAGAACCATGTGCGAATTGCAGTAAAATTCGATTGGCTCGAGGGGAGATTTCTAACCTCCCTCCCTCCAACCGCATCATCAACTTTCTACTCGTATTATAACTGACAACACTGTACTGGGCTATTTACATTAAGTTTAGGCTATACAAATCGTATGCACCCTTCGCGCTTTTGGTTATGATAATTTTCTCTCTCAGCTTAATCGCAAACTATATCCTTACCATTGGTCGAGAATCTTCTGATTGCCATTTTGTCCAGCTTTTTCGGATTTTTCAAATGATTTTTCGGAATTTGAAAAAAAAACAAAGAGTTGCTTCCGCAGGTTTTAGCCAAAGTGCATGACGCTTGTTCGTTCACAAGGAGTTGTGAGAACGAAGGGTCAGTGGTACTTCACACTTCCAAATATTCGATTCATCGCTTATCATGGGGAATGATTTGGAAGAATGTTCCGTCAATACTTTATCCAGCGGAGTATACCCGATGTTTGATGCATATGCTGCAGATACTTTGGCTGGAATAGCTGACCAGATGGCAAAACTGCCGCTGTACAAAATGTCAGCCATTTTGCAGCGTTTTTCAGCAAGCGGGGTCCAGCCCGTAGCAAGGAGGAGCATATCAACTTATGGCCCCGTATTTTTCTGACCATCTCATTTATCCTTCAAGTGTGGCTCACGGGCTTTTTTCATGGATGGATGCGAGTAGAGTTATCCCTGCGAGTTCAATTGATTCGCGGAGTTTTTTGAGCGGAACAATCGTTAATTCGTTTGTGTCGTCCTTCACAACAACAAAGTTCTATGTGATTCACCGGGGTCTATAGTGATTATCCTACACAACCTCCGATTTTTTAGTTAATGTTTTTTTGTACATGACCAACCTAGTTTACGTAATTGCGAGTACAGAAATCACCTTAGGGGGATTGAGAGCTCTTCGAGATATTGTCTGACACAACGCTTACATACTTTGTTTGGGTGAAAGTAGAGGAATAGTGATTTTTCTTCGGATTGACATCTATTTCAATGACATCTATGTCAAAGAGGCGACAAATAACATCATTTACTCGAAGGCACAGTTCACAATAAAAATGGTTTCTGAGATTCCCACACAGGATGAAGTTGAGCCCCCCCCCCCCCCCCGCATATACCACATCTGGCACAATTGGGTGTTAGGAAAACGGCCTAGTTAGGTAGTTATAAAGGCTAAAGGATTGGCCGTGTATATCCTCGGACGAGTTTCATCGGCATTGTATAGGCTGCACCGGTCACAAGGAAACCCATGTAGGAAGTTCAAAGAACTTGCCATGACCCACAGCGACAGTGGAAGACAGTGCTGTACAGTTATGGCTTGAAGTAGTCAGTTCTTTGTATAATTAAAACACCTGAAATCTCGTCCAAATAGTCCTTCCATATTATTCCCGTCATAGCAATCTCGTCCAGCCCCTATTTCCACTACTTTTGAGGAGCCATATTCTCCTCGAAATCGGCGAAGTCACTCGCTTTCTTCGCTGCCGATCAACTAATCCCAATCTATACTTCCGCTTTTCGAATAAAAACGGGTACTTTAAACTTATCATGAACTGTGTCTTTCTTCAAGCGATGAGAGGGGATGCAGGAAAGGTCTATGAAAGTGTACGATGAAGCTTAGTAGTGAGTGATAGCAACCTGCGATCGTTGCAAGTTACACCAGTCATCTCTCAAGATGACATTTGAAAATATCGACCATTGTCGCTGAGGGTCTGAGTCGGTGCAAAGGGGAGACTATGTGAGACAAAGCATTTGAAAAAATGCTATATGCATAAGAAAACAACTGCGTAGGCAACATAAACAAATCAAATTCCCGCAAAAATCCTCTACAAAATCTGAAGATTTCGAATCCCTCCAAAAATTATTGCCATCACTTATAGAATTCATTTGGGATGAATCTCTATTGGAATGCTACAGACTCGCAGCTAATCCTCGCTTTTGAAAAAACATAAAGCTCTTCATGCTGAGCAAACAGAAAAACCTCCATGTTATCACCCCTTAGTAAGAGAATCGAGATTGTCTACCTTAAAGAACTTCATGTACTGCGTCAATTCTTACCCAAGTACAGGTACGTAAGTTTGGCTTAAAAGGCCACCCCTCCCTCCAAACCTCCTCAATAGCCTGCGTTTTTCTTCCAGATAAAGTTAACAAGGTTATATAGAACCGATCCCGTTCTCTCCATTCAAGCCTTCTGAGAGACAAGATTTCCCCTTCTTCAAAATGCTTTTCATTAGTGTCCGGCAGTCACCTCCGCTGAGCCCGCTTCCCTAAATCCTTCTGAACCTATTGTTTCCGTGAGTAGCCATATAACTGGAAAAGAATTTTTTCAGTATCGTCGGCAAAACTCACTGGCATTCTTTCAAGTATTTAGATACGGCGAACTGTTAAGGACTTTCAATGGAAGGTTTTCAAGCTGCGAAAAGTAGTAGGTAAAAACGGAAAATTTCTGATTAGAAAAACATTGGTAACTCTTCCTTTTTCTCTAAGAGGCTCGAATAGAGTAGTCTACACTTTACAGAAAGGTGATCCAGCTAAGAGCTAACGATTAGTCGTTCAGCATGATTTCAACACCTGGTTTCGAATATCGTTCCTTAACGTAACGAGAAAGAATCATCATTCTGCCTGAACTCTCACTGATTGAAATCAGAAACGGGGACAAAGTGAGAGGAAATTTTAAACCCTTAAACACGCTTTGTTTTTACAAAAAATTCTGGGATCATTTATTATCAGAGATGACAAACCCCCTGATAGATGGAGCTGATCTCGCTGTTCCCTCGTCCCTGTTGTTCCTACAGTTGAATCGCGGATTCCATGAGTAAGAAATACAGAAGCAAAAGAACTAACATTAGAATGATGCCAAAAGTAATAATCGCATAGCGATAGAACTGCATGAGATCGCTGGAACTGTTAGAATGAGGTCGGATGGTGAGCGACAGACGCGTACGGCGGATCGATTTCACAGAACCGTTCCTACTACCCGTCTCGCCATTGAGCCCATAACATGTATTACTTCCCTTACTGAGTGGAAAACACCGAGGATCTGTTGGAACGAGGTGATTCGTCCATATGAGGGACAAAACGATTGACCGTGTCATTATAGGAACTGTTACTCTATAAGCTTCAGGTTCACCCGGCACACGTGCTTACCTCGGACGAGTAAGATCTCTCAGATATCCATGACCTTATTATGACATAATACAAGGTCTCTACACTTTGTTAGTGTGATAAGTAACCTACAGTCGGTACTAGTCGCCTTCACTTGAACCAAAAGCACGTGTTTTCTCCAAAAACTCTTTTTTAACCATAGTGCGGTTATCCTACAACTTTCTCTCACTTCTCGAAGCTCCATCTTAATGCTTTTAGAATGGTATGACTCACAAGCGCCCAACAGTTAAATACAGTGCAAGGTGTGCTTCAGAAAGCTACTCAAATGCTTTGTTTATGCTTACATGATCGCTGCTACCATGTCCACTATAGCCACTACAGTAGTGATAACGTATTTAAACAGAGGAAGGCGTACTGCACGGTAACACAGGATGATAATATGCAAAAGAAGTGACTTCCCCACGCATACTACCTCCATTTGCTCCCCCCTACCCTTCTCCCATGCGCCCTGTGCAGATGGACGTGATCTTAGAAAAAAGACGTTGGTCATTTCAACTCGGACAGCATGCGACTGATATCAGCTGATGTTTTGCTTCGCTGCAGTGAAAATCAAAAGTATGAAATAACATCCCTCAATCAAGTGTACGAATGTCGGCTAGTTCCTCTGTGTCATCCGTTATCGGAACTCGAACCCTACAAGGTTTAGGGTTCACACGGTTCACTGGCCTACCTTGGAAGAGTAAGTTCCTTTCGATAAAATCATCAAACTTCACGTTTTTCTCCCTTACTTTTGCACGAATTCTTGATGTGATTACGAGGAGAAGGCTTAAGTCGCTGAATGCCATTAACCCCTTTATTTAGCCCCTGTGCAATACACGGTGATTTAGGAATTTTTCAATTGAAACCAACTTTAGAAGTATGCCTAAGCTTTCAAAGTATTCGATGTATTAGAGGTAAACAGGTAGTGCGTAAAGTTTTGATCAATATCCCTTTAGTGCGTTGTTCATCCATCATTCTTTCCTTCTACTTCCTTCCTTCCTCTTCTTCGAATCGAAAAAGCATGACAGTACGTAAAGGATTCAGCTTTGAATTGATAAGTCCTCTGGTTGATATTCTTGTCGCTACCGAGATGCGAGATGTCTGTGACTGTTTTCCAGGTGGGTAGAGCAAGACTCGTACACACTTTAAATACCGATTGACTTTACTGTCACTCCAACCCAATTTTGCTCCTACTTTGTCTGGACTCCTTTCTCAGTCCTCCATTCATGAGCAATTCCCAAAGCCTCATTTGAATGGCAAGTAAAGCACTTGCCCCGATTTCTCCCTAACAGGTATCCCACTACAATTTAGCCAAGAAGAGCCCTCAGTATCGTGTTTTCCCACTCGAATATATTAATTCCAGTATACGACAAGTATAATGGCAGCTCATCCGAAGAAGAAGAGGAATCTGATGAGGAGGTAGGGGCTAATAATTAGTTTACCTTCTCTGCTTTTGTATTCGGTAAACAAGTGGTAGCCAAGTTGAAAAGACAATTTTTGACCGGCTAACAGTTACCGATTGTGGAATGTAGAGAGGGCAGCTTTTGCTTTTTTAAGAAGAACTAATACTGCATACTTTTGCAAAATGATGTAAATAATGCAGCAGAGTCTGATCAAGTTAGAAAAGTTACTTTATTAAACAATTATTTAAGGTGGTCCTACCTCGTCGAACTTCGCAATTCCGCGTCGCTTCAAATGCTTCAGAGGTGAAGGCCGCTGTGCTAAACGAAATTCGTGACATGGCTCCGCAACAACAACGTAGGTTACAGTGATTCTTCTCAAAAGATTTGGAAGTGATCAAGCGCCTCTGCTAAGGGGTTTCAATTGTTTGAAATCTAACGATACTAATGGCATCCCATGAAAGTAGAGCACTACCTACCTCAAGTGAACCTATTTTCTGCGGGTCATATAAGGTATATCGGGCTATTTAGTGAAGTCTTAGAAAGCGAGTTACATTATTAATCAAAAATGTTTATAAAAAGTAGAAATAGGGTAATCCCCACTAGATTGTTATCCCAACTGTGACCAATAAAAAAACTTTTTACCTATACTCGTCTGCAACGAAGGGGTGTAGGAGCAAGTGGCGCACATCACCTACACGTTATCTGGGGGATCGAACTCTGGATTAATATACTCCCAGGTCAAGCAAGCCTCAAATCTTTCCTGGGTTAATCTGTTAGATATTCGTCTTTAGGAGAAAGCAATGACTTTACATCGGCTGGCTACCACAGGTCAGAGGTCACACACGCATTCACTACCCCACTAAGATTCTGAATTGAAGTCCAGTGCGAGGGCGTATCCGTCAGACGTGACTGATCAACGCCCGAAGGCTTTTCTCTTCATCCCTTCAACTGCAGTCGGTTGGAGGCAATGATTCTTCATTGGGATTCAACGGGCTCTTTCCAAGCAACCCCTCTAGCGAGCATCAGAGATAGACAGCAAGCGAGACGAATTAGTGACTGGTCGTAAAATGTTTGAAGGGACCAGATGGAGATCAGAAGGGGGGCATCAGAAGCCCTTTCTACTGAGGCAAATCGTTTGTCATCGCAACAGCAAACAATTGCGATCTTACCTGCCAAAAAAAGCTCTTTCGTTATTGTTTGCATATTGTGACAAAGCTAACAAATAAAGAAGGGCGGTTCATGATCAAGTCATATGCCACACCCAAATCCAGATTTCTGGTAATATCCTTTTCACCTTAGATTTCGCATAATCGTCCAACTGCCCCGCTTTCTGATTTCACATACGTCTATTCTTTTCGTAGTTAATTCGCTTTGATACCTCTAAAACTCATCAAGTAGAGAAGGCCCAAAGTGCGACTAGGAAATATCAAATCGAGCAATGACAGACAGCATCAATCACAAAGGAGGTAAGACTATATAACCGATGCTCGTAATGGCGTGATTGAGAGCAATGAGAGCATTCTGCAAAGTTGTATTTACTCCGAGTAGTCGAATTTATTTTGAAATTGTATAGGAGGAAAGATAAGCAGGCAGTACTCAAATGTTGGTGCATTTTAGAGAATGAGGTTGTTGTAACTGAACAAAAGATTGTCGAGAAGACTGAAGAAGAGAAACGCGCTCTTGAGGAACGTCAGCAAATGCTCAAGCAGCAAGAGACAGCAAGGGTTGGTCTTTTCGGAATCGAATGCCTTTAAAGTATACTTTTCAGTCAAATACAGTATCTGTATAGTCTTGAAAATTTCACTTCAAAAAGTTAGGAGTCTGAGGGCCTATGAAAGGATTAATCAGCAATCCCGGTTATTGGCTAGCCTGATTTCAGGAGGATGAGCCCGGCGAAGCTGAGGACAACGAGGTTATGTTCTATCAGATCTTGCTTCCTGCCATTCTTAGCTTTTGCCATGGCTATGGCCGCTCAATGTGCTTGCTTTCGAATGAGCATAGCTCGGATTGTAAAAATAGCTCTTCACCCATGTTATCGCATGCGAGGGACTGCTTTCGTTTTACTCTCCAGCCGCTTTTTACTGACGAACATCCTACGCTCTTTTGCCCGTAGAGACCATGATTGCTTATATAGAGAGTTGTCTGCTGAAAGAGTTTGAACGATCATGGTCCTGCAGGAATCCACGCCAACTTTCGTTCGGCATGAGTATACTGTAGCTTCACAAATTCTACTGACGTGTTATCCTCTTGCTCATTATTACATCCCCACCACCGCTCACGGCCTCTCACGAGCTTCGAAATCACCTAGTCATACATAGTTTGTTTTGCTCCTTTTCTATAAGAACTATAATGGCCCCACAGCTCTCCCCAGAGCCACTCATCAATGTGATGGCCATGATCGATGTCTTCCCTTTCTATTTGATCTGATACGGCTCGCTTTGGTACACAGCTTACTGTGCATTTGGGCATGCGCCTTTACCTGCACTCACCCTTGCTGCCAATGCTTGATGTTGCTTTCTGACGCCTACCGCAGCCTGCTGAAGCTGAGCAGCTTGTGTATGTGCCTATCGCTTTCATAGCAGGAGACCAATGTGAGTGGGATGTAAGGTGATCACCCAGAACAGCATGAACAAGAAAGTCACCCATTCGAATTGAAAAATAACGATGCGAATGGCAACTTATGATATGAGCTTTATGAAGATGGCATGAGAAGCTTTGGCAATGTGGTTTTCCGAAGGTTCTCACAACTGATATGGCCAATAACTTACTTATTCTGGCATTCTGAATGGCTCAGAACACATTATTGAAGTTCACTTTTCAAGGCTCAGCAAGCTGCAGCTCTCCAACAAGCCGCTGCCGCCAGGGCAGCAGCAGCAGCCGCCGCTCCTCCTGCAGCAGACGACAATCATAAAAAGGTGGGACCATTTCGATTCACGTTGCCATAATCGTATTATCAGTCATTGCCTTGAACAGTTGTTGGGTGGTGAATAATCGAGGGCAGGGTAACTTTCAGAGCGACAGACTTTTTGCTTTCTTCACACTTTTGAATGTCAAGAAGTCACCCAGACAAACAGCGGTTTCGTTGATAAAATCACAACTTTCTTGCAAATAAACTTCCTGTTTATTGGCTACGTAATAGATTGCAGTACAGCCTACCGCATTTTTCGTACCCCTTCCTTTACGATAACGTAGATCGACTCGCCAGAACAATTATACTTGCGCCATTCCGATTAAGTAAACGTCCTCGTTCTCTTCCGATGAAAAACGACTAGAAGAATTATAAATCTGCATTATTAAGCTATATGTAAAGACGTATTTATACCTCGTGTGTAAATGTAGCTATATTTACCGCTCTGAGAACAATCGCGCCCTTCCCCCTATTAGTCGTAGGCACTTCTGCAAAATGGTTTTAAAGACACAGTTCACGATAAACATGGTTTCTGAGATTCCCCCACAGGATGAATTTGAGGCCCCTACGTATACCATATCTGGCGCTATTTAGTCGGAAAACGGCCTAGTTAGGGAGTTATAAAGGTTCTAACATTGTACTGTGTGTATCCTCGGACGAGTTTCACCGACATTGTAGAGGCTGCACCGACCACAAGAGAACCCATGTAAGAAGTTCAGACAACTCGTCATGACCCACAGCGGCAGTGAAAAGCAGTTCTGTACATTTCTGGCTTCATGTAGTCGGCTCTTTGTGCAACTGCAACAACTAAAATCTCGTCCGAATACCCCTCCCATGTTATTTCCATCATGGTAATCTCGTCCAACCTCTATTTTCCGGACTTTTAAGGAGCCTTATTCTTCTCGAAATCGGCAGGTATTCTCGCTTTTTTACTATCAATGAACTATTCCCAACCTATACTTCCACTTTTCCACCAAAAATGGGTACCTCAAGGTTATCGTGCATTGTGCCCTCAAACGCCAAAATTCAAGAGATTATTTATTTCCACAGGAATTATGAACAAAAATTTTCAGGAGGAGGAATATGCACGGCAGATGGAGGAAGAAATGAAAAGGAAAGCTGAAGCGGTGAGCTCAAAGTGAAGTTATTACAAAAACGTACAAACGGTGACATAATAAGATACAGGATAAGTTTCAAGATCAAAAGTTCATTAAGAGCACCGTCTTGAAGGCAGAGATGGAGATCGAGAGGTCAATTTCAACTTTTTTCCGCAATAGACGGATCATTCGACAAGAACTTTTTCAACCACAATCGTGTTTCGTGTGTGCATCTACAATTTGTAAAAGGCCTCCACCTTTCAGACTGAAAAGTTAGTGATCGTGGTTCACCTTCGAAAGGATCGAGACCCTAATGAGGAATCCGACACCATAGATAGCAAAACTTCTTCAAAGGTCATCAATATTAGATTTCAGCTCTTTTTGGATCTTTAGCCAATTTCAGTGCCCATACCATCGTGTCCTTCATTTTGAAGGCAGCCCGTTCCTTTGGGTAATAACTTGAGCTCGAGGATGACCTATTCAGTTGTAAAGATTAGGAGCCAACTTTGAGCTGGCATAACGGGGTTCACCGAGTCCTTATTGTGGTGAAGTGTGTCGTATCTGCATCTACTATTTGTAGAGAGGCCCCCATTTTTTAGGATTTCGCTGAAAAGTTGGTGATCGTGGTTTACCTTCAGAAAAACCCTATCCCCCTAAAACCCTCAAACCCGAGGAATCCGTCATCATGAACTGCAAATTTTCCTCAAAAGTCGTCATTCTTGGATTCCAGCTCTTTTTAGATCATTAGCGAATTTGGTGCCCCTGCCAACTAGGCTTAACGTTCATGCCATCCCCTTTGCTAACCTCTGCTCACTTTACTTCTGGGCATCGACGTTTTTAAATAAGCTTGCCAGTTTTCGGATAAAGCTCCGCTGACTTGAAGGTATACCCTTCACTCTTTAGCAAATACATTTGATTCTTTCTCGCCTATCCACGCCTCTTCCAAAGTTAAAAATTTGAGTTGTGAATTTTTGCAGCTAGCACAGCCAAGTTAAGATCATGATCCTCTCAAGGAACGCAGAGCTCCCTTTGGTACAATCATGCTCAGCATACTTTGCTCTTTTCCTGCACAGGACCCTGCCTCTCCAGAGGCTTCCCCAGTAAAATTGAATTCCGTGAGGGCACCCATATAGCAGTTGCAATTTACTCTTGGGGAATAATGTTGTAGACAGTGCCTAATAGGACCCCTCTTTATCATTCCCTCGTCTGTTTTTACAGTTGCCTAATCACTTAGAAGCGTAGAGAGGTCTACCCCGGTCAACAAGGGCGGAACTCAGGTTCTAAGTAGCATGACCAGTCTTTCTTTCCTCTTTTTTTTCAAACAGAGCTTTGATAAAGCCTTTTCACAGATACCCTAAAAGATTTGTAGTCTCAGTGAATATTTTTGAATCAGATCAGATGAGATATGCTTGCTAAGCTTTCTGTCAAAAAAATTGCCTCAATTAACGTTGCAATGAATCAAATATGCACAGAACTTCATGTCTTCCAAGTAGCCCTGGCATTCTGATCAATGAGAACTACTGGTTAGAAAAAGTTCCAATTGAATATGTGATGTTATAATATAATGTATAGTTGAATGCAATGTTTCAAAGTGTTGGTATCTCCGAGTTCCACTCAGTCTTATTTAAATGATCACTTTTCGAGCGGTATTTAATGCCTTTTTCATGAAGCGATCTAAAAATTACAATAGCTTCATATAATCAGTTACAATATTATAACACATCCCATCAAAATGAGGTAGAGATGCCCAGGTAATGATTACTCAACACTTATGTGCTCTTTGCAGGCCAGAGCCCAGGCGGAAGCTGAAAGGAAGGCAGCCGAGGAGCGCCAGGCACAAATGAAAGCACAACAAGAAGCAGCACTGAGAGCAGCGGAGGAACAAACAAGGAAGGCTCAAGAAGAAGCTCTCCGAAAAGTCCAGCAGGCCAAAGCGGAAGCCGAAGCGAAGGCTAAGAAGGAAGCAGAGGAAAAGGCAAAAGCAGCAGCGCAAGCAAAGGCGTTAGCTGATGCTCAGGCAAAGGCGGCTCAGGCAAAAGCACAAGCGGAGGCTCAGGCGAGAAAAGCACAGGAAGAAGCTAAAGCTAAAGCAGCTCAGGCAAAGGCTCAGGCTGAAGCACAAGCCAAGAAAGCTCAAGCAGAAGCACTTGAAAAGGCGAGAAAGGCTCAAATCGAGGCGCAGGAGAGAGCTAAAGCCCAACAAGCTCAACAGAAAGCAGCAGCAGCACAACCGAAGGCTCCAGCTAAACCTGCAGCAGCTCCGGCCGCACCGAAAGCTGCTCCTGCACCGCCAGCTAAGCCAGCCCCTGCCGCACCTCCGCCAAAGATCAAGCCCAAACCAGACCCTGTTCCATTGAAAACTAACGGTAATGAAGAACAAAGTCGTTACGTGGTTCATATATGAATCGTAGTAGTAATTTCAGAACCCATCAAAGCTCCACAGCGTACTCCTGGAAAGGTGGCTGCTGAGATGCCACAATTCAAGCAGTATGAACCTCGAGTCATTGACCTGCCGAAAGACTCCACTCTCAAGCAGACAGCAAAGGTTTGCCCTTCCTAAGGAGGATTCTTTTCGAAATACGTAGCAACCTTTCTATTTGCGTACAGAAAACAACAGTAAAGAGTGAATACCACGTGAGCGTTCTCACGGTTTTCAACGAGCATAATATGTAGGTTGTATACGGTACTTCATCAGAGGGTTCTGGCGTCCTTAATGGCAAGAATTTCCGAGTTTCTGAATTCCCTCTGGAAATGAATGAAAAGGTTCTGATTCATGGAACTTTTGAGCCATGACCGAAATGGTTCGGCAGCCTAGTGGCTCAAAGTCAAATCCCTCGTCAAAACCGGTGTTGTTGCTCAGGGGAGCCGAATAAAGCTCGTTTCCCTCCGTGAGTCACTAACAGGATGGCATCAAAGAGATCTATACGATTGAGAGTTGAGGCATATTGCATTTACTTGGAGACTTTGTTGTTTATGAGCTGGCTGAGCAGTGAAAAGCCCAACTTCCTCCCAAATGTTCATCACTCCCGTTTCTCCATCTTATGTCTAGACCAATCCTAACCAAGCATCACCGTTGTGGCCCAGCCTGAATCATTGTATTTACTGCTTGATCACTTACTTTCAACCTAGCAAAGCTCCCATACGTTGCTCTTCAGTTTTAAAACTCCTTGTCGTACAATTTTAAGGGGAAAGGTGAAAGCGATAGGGTAGGGGTAAAAATTACAGCCAGATTTTCCCCGAGGCTGACTACGAAAACAGCTCCATCCTGTGCCAACTCAAGTATGCAGGTGAAGTGTAAAATAGGCCGCTTTCTAATGAGCCTGTTGCTGTTATTGTTCCAGGCAATTCCGTCACCTCCCTGTTTTACCATGACTTTCTGCGCTTGATGGGAATTTCGTTCCCACTTATCTTAGCCTACTCGCAGCCAGTTTTTCCTAAAGCGCTTCAGTGGCACATTCATTAAATAAAGGCTGTCCGTAAAAGGCTTATGACGTGATGACATGGTGTTCAAAGAGTTAAGGAGTGAAACGTTTTCTGTCGTAAAAGGGTGAATTGGAGAACAATTCCGAATCGGCCTTAGAATGTTTCCCACTTTGCAGCAGCTTGTCTGATCGAAGGTAGGGCCGCAAAAAGCAGCGCTTGAAGAAAACTTCCTTCGCCTTCAAATGGGTTGTATGGAGAGCAAGGTATCGAATACACTTGTTCTACGTTCGGGACACAGCCTAATCAGCAGCGCTGTTCTCGGAAAAT